TCCATAGTAGAACGAGGCTACGTATCGAACGATTATCGTTGAAAGTTCGAAGATGTTGAGAGATAAAGTAGGGGGAAAGTAAACCTCGGGAATTATCCTTTATTGGCCATTGTTCTCCCTCAGTTACCGCACTTCAAAATTTCAATGTACCTAGTACGGTAAAAGAGAGCTCGGTCTCGCATCATAAGCGTCCCCTCGATACGTGACGCGGCAGACCATTTTCTACGCAACCCTGAAGCTCCTCCACTTCCGTAATTACGTCAGCCATTGTTTTTTTTTTCTTTTTTTTTTTTCGTTGCATTGGAAGTCGGCCGCGAGTGAGAAATGACATTTTTTTTTTTTTCTTCATTTCTGCCGCGAAATTAATTCGCAGCGATTATTCTTTGATGGTCCCTCGCATAGGCGTTTAGGTTAGGTTTAAATTTACAGTATAATATATTGTGTATTAGGTTAGGTTTATATTTGCAGAACAGTGACGAGCAAAACTGTACACACACACATGGATTTTTGGACATCAATAATTATTATATAATAATATTATATTATATGATAATAATTAATAATAATAATAAATATATTATCGAGTGTTTGCTCGTAGAATAAAAAAATACGAACGAAAACAAGATATTTACTGTTTTGTAAGATATTTTGGATTTCCCAGAAAAGTTTGATCATACTGCCATCACCGTTCTGGCAAATATAAACTATTCTCGTGAAGTCGATTTGGCAAAATGAAAAACTGTGAAAACTATAAATTGTTATGATTTCGTTAAAAAAAGTTCATGTGACAATTTACTCATACAATTAGTCTCGTTTTAAGACGTAAAAACTTCTTTCTTTTTTCTAAGATATTTTAAAATGGAAAAGTGTAAAAAAAAAAAAAGTTCAAGCATATGCGAGAACATTGAAAAATTTTTACGATCAAATAAAATTTAAGTCTTGACGATTAAAGTTTTCCATCGACGACAACTTCTTAAAACTTGCTGTACGATATCTTTCTCCATCGTTTCATTGAACTTTGAACAACAAAAGTTTTAAGGGACCGTCGTAAAGAGAAAGTTTCAATGTTCGAAATCATGGTGGATCAAGTTACAGAAAAAAACAAAAAAATTGTTTAACGTTTGAATTTTCACGATTTCTGAGAATAATAGTCGTACTTTCTCACCTGTTACGAACCTTTAGAACAGCCTGGCGCTTTAAAATGAGATAGATTCTTTCACAAAGAAGTTTACAACAGTTTACAATTTTTCATCATTCAGTGTTCAACTGCGCCGACGAGATTTCGCTTTTAGTCGAGTTTAGTTATCGTCAAGCAGCAAACAGCCAAGTCAGGCGAGTGGATTTTAACAAATTAAGATTAATTGTCTGCGGGGCTTTCTTACCGAGATCGTCGCTCTCGAACAGAAGGTTCTCGTGCACGCCGAGCCGCCTGCAGAACTGTATGAAGTTCTCCATGTTGTCACGCGAGAAGAAGCTGCGACGCGCTGCGTTCTCCCAGCAACGACCTTTTATCACCGGCATTGGCTGCAAGAGACATCGATCATTGACAGATATCGACATGGAGCATGGATTGATCGACAACATATTTCTGCATAGCAAGGCCTGACGGCAAACTGTGCAATGAAATTTATATCCAGCCGTGCTTTACACTGTGCAATCACGTTAAAATCAATTTCGAATGAACTAGAAGTTTCGAAAATATGAATAAATAAATAAGTTTTATCGTTTTATAAAAAGTGAGAAAGAAGTGAACCATTAATGACTGACATTCTGGCTCTCCTATTCTCCTTGTTTTGCATTCCAAATTTCAAGAAGATTGACGCACTATTAACCCCTCAGTTGTGAAAAGATTTTTAGTCAGCGAAGTACTATACTTCTGTATCTACTATACAAACGTTTGCAACGTTTCACCCAAACTATGCAAAACAAAGAAATTTATATTCGATAGCTCTTAGCTTTTAGTAATTATTAGGATGAACTTTGAATAAATTGAAATTTCGAAAGTCGATTTTTGAGTGTGTATGTAAAACTCTCTTCGACTAACAAGGAAAGTGTCGATCACCGTTTCTGATGAAATTTACGCATAAACGTGGTTCTCGAGAAAAACCACCCTCAAAGTTGGACAATTCGAAAATGTCTCGGAAATTACTGAAAATTCAGTTTTCCTGTAAATGGATGAAATTAATGTTTTTTAGTGGTGTATATCATTTTGCGAAAAAACCATATGTTTAAACAATATACTAAAAAAAAATCATATTTCTTCATTTTTTTTACCAAGCAAATTTTGATGCATTTTCTCGAATATTTGTTTACGAAATTTCATAATTATCTATGAAAACTACACATTACATTCACCACAGATAAATTCAAAAAGCTTCATTATTTTCGAATCTTTCTCGCTGGAGACACATAACATAGAGTACAGTTCAAAAAAAAAAAAAAAAAAAACTGGTATACGCGAAAGCCACTTTTTCGAACAGCCAAGAAGTTAAAATACAAAAAGCAGTGTCTTCAAGAAGCTCGCGCTATCGATCCATCCTAAACAAATCTACTCACCCCTTTCGCTTTTCCAGCGTCGATCGCTGTCCTCGCCTTTTCCTGGATAATCCTCGCCAGTCGACACACCACCACGCCATTGTCCAAAGCATCGAAGAAATTGTCACCCGACACGATTTCAGAGTCTGGAAACATCAAAGGAGTCGCGAGTCATACAAAATTCATTCCTGTTGATCGACGATGTCAACACTATCGACTTGTTAGCAAACCGGTCAAAATGATGAGTGTAAAAATTTGCAATTCTTTAATTTTGTGGACTTGCGATATCGTTGCGCGTTTTTGAAGAGGTTCGAATGATTTTTGATGACTTTGTACGAATAAAGAAATTCGTGTTGATCATCGTTTCCCTATTCATCTCTCGCGCTAATTTCTTTGACTTAATTTTGATACTCTGATCCCAGGTGGTTAATCACTGAGTCGATTCAACGTATTGCGCAAACGGCCTCTCAGAGGCAGTCAAGAGCATCGGCCAAGTGGCGTTCATTGTTGAAAACAATGGGGCCAGCTCCCCTTCGAACACCCCCATCGTAGTCGAATTCTCCTTCTCGAAGCAACAGCGGGGTGATTTTCGCTTTGTCGCGGAATTTCGCGCGATTTTCAATTACATCTTTACGTCGTTTCTTTCGAAGAAATCTTGAACAATTTGTACAAATTCCGAGCAATTTTCGTGCGAGAAGTGTGGATCTGGAGCCGAATAATTTCATCGAACTTCGATTGTCGTCGCGGCTCGTCAAAGACGAGATGACACGACCACGTCGGAGAACATGGGAACAGATTGCTTCAGATTTATCTACGAAACCGCTACTCCTGCTAGTAGAGCCAGAGGTATGCGAGGACCTCTCTTGGGAAGTAGGACTCGTCTGCGCCAAGGTATCACCAGTACAGCCTTTATCACTGGTACCGAAGAGATTGACATACGAGTGTAAAGAACGTAGAATTATAGAATTGATTTACAATTACATACTTGTATCATTCGACTCGTTCGACAACTCGCGTATTGTAAAATCCAATTGACCTTCATCTTTTCTTTTCTTTGATATTTTTCCGTGACCTGTGGTTAATAGTTAAAAGTAGTTTAGTTTTTTTTTTTGTTGTTTGTTTTATTCATGAAGTGAGGTTTGCAGGAAAATCTGCATCTTCTATGTATATGATTGATCTCCATCTTTACTTCCCAGAGTCTTCAGATAGCACCCTTATTTCTTCTAGGGATTTCCCAGGTCCTAGAAAACCCGAGGATTCTTCGTGTCTATTTTATTTATGTTTTTCCTTTATTATGAATTTTATTGTGTTGCCGACTTTCTTTACACAGGACTGTCATAGTTTGGATCCTCGGGAGCAGTGATAAGCCCAGTGTCGCGAGTTTTTAATCCTTTCGCTACAGGAGCGTCCGTGACAAAACTGTACACATTGATCGAATCATTTACCGAGCACGAATCATTCCCTTCATCCGTTTCGAAGTAGAATCTTTCTAGAATATATATCCTGATTCAAACCTAACCTAACCTAATTTTTGAAACATAACCTTAAATTTTTAAGAGAGTTGAAAATTTAAGGTTACGTCTTTTACGCTCGAAAAAAATGTGTCCTCACTTTCCCACCCGCTACGCGATGTAAAAAAAAATCATTTTCGAAAAGAACAAATTCACGACTATCGAAGCACAATTTTCATGCTTTAAAATGATACTAAATGGATCGTTTTTAATATGATCTCTTTTTACGAAGTTGTATCAGTTTAAATCATCGATCATTTTTCATTGTTATTGGTACTATAATATATAATTACTATGTATTATTTAAGAAACGGGTGCTATACTATAGCACGTATTATAGTACCACATTTGGTACTATAATATAAAATTACTATATATTATTTACGAAACGATAATATATCCAGATTCTCGTTTCGCGCTGTTTGCTTCCCCTGATCGGGGACAAGTTCTGCACGATGGCGAAATAAAAGCTGTCGCGTCTGTTTTATGGCAACTGGTTTATTGCAGTAATGTATCGCGTTACGAATTAATGCATCGATGGAACAATGCCAAGGACGACACCGACCGGAATATTCTGAAAAAGGCTCGAACTGTTGGTTAAAGAGGCCAGACGAATGTTTAAGTCGAAGGGTAGCGTATCAAGGACGAGAAGAAGAAGATGGATGCCATCGGATGTTTGTAAAAGTTCGCTCGTAGATTGATTATGCGTCTCCGTGGGACGCAGACTCGTTAATTTACACTCTGTGTTAAAGTAGAAATTGCAATACGAGTATTATCAGTATTAAAATATTCTATTAAATAATATTTAATATTTAATATTAAATAATATTAAATATTAAATAATTAATAATATTAAATATTAAATAATATTAAAATATTCTATTAAATAATTATTAAATAATATTTCTATTAAATAGAAATTTTCTTCTCAAAGAAGATGGATGTTCACGTTGTTTGGAAAATTTGTAAATTGATTGCGCGTCTCCGTAAAGGATGCAGACTTACTTTAATCTATATTGAATTCTATATTAAAATAGAAATTATAATTTTCTGTTTGCTCTCGAGCGAAGCTTGATGAATCATTGTCAGTAGAATCATATAAATTCAACTGCACGAGATTGCTGAAAATTCGTTGAACCATCAAACGCGAGGACTTTATTATCCCTTCGCTTAAACGATGTGAGACGCAGGTTAGATCTGCCGGCAGCCGGTTCCGGGTGACCGAGTTGCTCGCCGCGCGGTTCACACTCGAATACGCTCACGCTCGTGAGCTTTCGCAAGATCGAGGCGAGGGACGTTAGACGTCCCGTGTACAACGAGAGCAATCGTCGTTATCACGAGTCCTGTCTCTCGCAAGAGCCAGATCCAACCACGTCGTCGTCGTCGTCGTCGTACGCGAACACACGAACGGAACAC